CGCGGCCACAGTCCACGCGCGGGCGGCGCCAGCCGGGGAGAGGCAGGGACGCGGAGACTGCAGCGTGGGGGCCGGGTGTGAGATGCGAAGCGACAGGGGCTCCTCCTCGCCGGCCCACTAACCTCACAGGTCTGCGGTCCCAGACAAAACGAAGTGGTGCTGGCGCCCGGAAGGTCTAAGCCAGACTGAGGCAGCCCACGGAGAACAGTGACAGAGCCACAACGATCCACGGAGGTTCCCATCCCACTCCGGTGTGGGTGGGGGGACAGAGCTGGAGTCTGATGGAGAATATTGGGGGAGGGGAACAAATTAGGGTCTCCTCAATCCTCTTAAGTCCCCAGAAGCCCTATCCTGGGGTTAGGGCAGGATTGGTGCTAGAACAAATGTCTGTCACTTTGGCTGAAAATGCGGCCCGTTGCTCTCTCCAGGGCCCCTCAGCAGCCCACTGTGTCTGGAGGGTCTCCACACAGGGACCAGCTGCATCCCTGGGCTTACAGCCAGAATTTGCCCACACCATTCTCAAGTCTCCTTTCTCTCCAGCTGCTTCTTGTGAAGGCTTGTCAGGCAGCGGGTTGGAGGCCTTGGGGCTGGAGGCAGCGGGACCGGGAAAACCGGTTTGGGGCTACCACAGGACCGGGGAACTACCTGTGTACATCCTTCCTTCCCCGGTTCCTTTTCCCTACCCCTCTCCTGCCTGTCCCTCTACAGCTCTTAGGTCCTCACGGCCCACTGTGACCCTGACGATGGCTTGTAGAGATTGCCATTCCAGGTCTGGATTTCTTGTGGAACTGAGAGGGGCCCACTGTCAGGATGTGGCTTTATGCTGTCTGACCATTGACCCCTTCTCTTTTCCCATCTCCTTCCTTTTTTTTCTGTGGGAATGTAGTAGTGGGCAGTGGATTCAGTCAGCATTGCTCCCTCCTCAGCTCTCCAGCCAAGGCCTCGTTTGTCCCCATCCCGATCGTTGGCTGCTTTTAAACAGAGTGACAGCCAATGCCTAGTACTTCCTTTTCTGGCTTTGTTCCTCTTCTCTCCCCCCCACTCTCCCCCCCTTCACACACACTACCACAGTGACCCTGGCCTGTCTTCACACTCTGACCCGCCTCCAAGTTTCAGAGACCCTAATGTCCTAGGGAATGGAATTTCCTGGTCACTTCTCATCATCATTGGTTGTTTCATGCCAAGTCCCACACACACTTTCCCTCCACCCAGCTTGGTCAGGTCTCTGGAAGAGAAACAGAAACGTCCTTGTTCCCTCCAGGGCCCCCTTTCCTCTCCCTCCTCTTCCCTACTCACAGCCTTGGCCACCCCTGTCCACTCAGCCTCGAGCAGGGTGGAGAGTCCTGGGTAGAGTCCAGCCTCAGCATGGACTGTCTGGTAGTGTTGGGGGGTTTCCTCTGATTCTTTATTGTTTTCTCCATTTCCCCCAACCCTTACCACCTGCCACCATCATGACAAGCCTTGTGACCGACTTTCCCACTGACCAACCCTCCCCTCTTTGGGCAGCTGTGTTCTGACCAGTCCTGGTTACTCCTCCCTTCCAGGGGTGGGAAGGGAAGTGAAAGAAAGCCCAGACTCTTGGGTTCTTTCCTACCCTAGAAGCTGTATTCCATTGCTTGAGTGATCTCATCTCAAGACTGCTAGAAGACAACAAAGAAAAACATTCAAAAAACAAACGAAACTCGGGTTTTTTGTTTTGTTTTGTTTTGTTTCTTTTTTGTTTTTTTTTGTCTGTCTAGGCTGTTGGAGCACCCAGCTTCCAGCCTCAAGCCTAGAGGGAAAGGCTCATTCCTATTCATGCTAATGTTTAATATTCATGAGCTGCCCTATTGGACTCCCTGAGCTTGACTGTGCTGTAGAGGGAAGTACAGTTCCCACAGAGGAAACTCAGAAGGGCTGTCACCCCAGGATGGCAGCAGTGAAAACAGGAGAAGGTTCTTGCTTGGACACAGGTGCTACCGGAAAGTTCCTGTGTCTGGTTCACTGATGGAGCTTGAAAGTGGTGGGGAGAAGGAAGAGAGCCAGTCAGAGCAGGGGTGGGTGGTGGTGAGCCTTACAAGGTTGTAAGACACCAAACTGCACACGATGGGACACTCGAAAAAGGGTGGGGAGGCTGCAAATGATTCCTCAGAACAGAGAGTGAGTCCACACATTACGTGTACAAGACATGGAGCTAGGGCCACGGATAGGTGCACACACAGTCTACACAGCTTTCCGGAAAGGCAAGGTCAGATATTAACTCCAAATGGACTCTGGGAGGCCCGACCTCAACTGGGACAAGTGAGGAGGAACAAAGGCAATGGAGTGAGAAGGAAGAAATTCCTCACTCCATAAGTATTTGTTGAGGTTCACACTGATAGAGTTAGTGTCATAGGAACTAGGTGGTCCTTAAAGAAAATTTAGGTGCTGGGGCAAGGTAAGAAAACAGGGAGGGACAGGGTGGAGGCCTTGTTTGTGAGAACAAAAACCACTATTTCCTCTTCGGAGTCACTTATGTGCCCCTCCCCTCCTGCCCTAACCCAGGAAAAGGGGAGCTGAAGTTGGTAGCACCCCTGCATTCATTTCTGCCACTTTTCATTTTCTCTCACTGTCTCATCCAAAGTTCTCTTAGCTCCCTTCTTCCTTAGTCCCAGTAGTCATTGCCCCTTACCCTGTTGATGGTCTTTTTGCACTGTTTATTGTGAGAAGCCACTGTGAGCCTTCTGTGTTTGGAGGGGGTCAGGAGTGGGGTACCAGTAGTAAAGCCTCCGAGAGAGAAGATGGAGGCTTAGCAGAAGGTCTCTGGGAAATGGGAATAGGGAGGGATGTTTCTCACTAACAGTTTTTTTTTTTTCTTTCTGCTAAAATTCAGGAGTCTACATCTAAAGAAGACAGAACCTTGTGCCTGCCTGCCCAAGCCTCTTGCTGATGATTTTAGTGGCTTCGGGTCTGAGACTCCAACTTTCACTGCACGGCTAAGGGTCTCTATGATTCCCACATTTCTAGAGCCATCCAGCTGAGTGAACCCAAGGCTTATTATACCTGAGAACAAGGACTGGGTGATTAGCAACAAAACAAGAGCCCTCTCTGGGGCCTCTGGCAGAGGCCTGAAGCTGGAACCATCAGGGAATATGAGTGAATTTTGGCACAAACTGGGCTGCTGCGTGGTAGAGAAGCCTCAGCCGGTAAGTCTTCTGACCCCACCCGACACACAGGAATTAGTTACCATGTGCCATGAAGTAGACCGCCATCTCTGCTCTGTCTTGTGAAAAACCCTTTTCTCACATACCTCTTGAGAGTGTCTGTGGCAGGGCAGGTGTGTTCACGTGCAACAAAGGAGACTGTGTGACAGAAGAGTTGACTAGTTCTAGCTGTCACCTCCTCCTGTTCTGAGGTGGGCAGGAGTTGTAGATAGAACTTAAGAGCTGTCAGTGTCCCCTCATCATCTAGAGGTGACTTTGCTTTGTCCTTTTTCTTTCTTTTTGGTTTTTCGAGACAGGGTTTCCGCTGTGTAGCTTTGGAGCCTATCCTGGCACTGGCTGTGGAGACCAGGCTGGCCTCGAACTCTCAGAGATCCGCCTGCCTCTGCCTCCCGATTGCTGGGATTAAAGGCGTGCGCCACCAACGCCCGGCTGGCTTTGTCCTTTCTTTGTGTGTTCACTCAGCAGGCCATGTCCTTACCACTCTGGTGACATTGTCTCTGATTTGTTATTCCAACTTTGTCTTTCCTACCCTGATGTTTGCCAGTTACACTGCCAAATCAACCCTTAACTCTTAGTGGTTTTTCCCCATCCTCCATGGGGGGAAGGAGATGGCTGCATGTGTGACTCCTTTCCTCTCCAAACAGAAGAAGAGGCGAAGACGGATTGACCGAACCATGATCGGGGAACCAATGAATTTTGTTCACTTGACTCACATTGGCTCTGGAGAGATGGGGGCTGGAGACGGACTTGCCATGGTAATGAGAGAAGGGGGAGGTGTTTATTTGGGGGTGTAGCCAAGTGAGGGACATAACAGTACTCAATGGAAAAACAAGGATATTAGACTGTAGACCTGGTCCCCAATGGTGTGCATTTCTGATCTCTAGGGCTGGCTCCCTCTTTACATATGGCTCTTCATTGGAGTGAGGGGTATGTATGTTGTCATAGTTGGAGAGCTTCTCAACCATGGCTCTCCTTACTGAGAACTAATCAGATCTAGGCTGTAGTTCAGTTGGTAGAGTGTTCTCCTCGAATGCAGGAAGCTCTAGGTTTGATCTCCAGCTCGGCAGAAACTGGGTGTGGTGACTCCTACCTGTAACCTCCGCACTGGGAACTAAGGATTGCAGGCTCAGGGTCATCCTGCATAGGGAGTTTGAGGCTAGCCTGGCCTAGAGACCCTATCCCGAAATAGAAAAGGAAAACCTGTTGAATCAGTGTCAGAGTGATGCATTGTGACTGGGAGTCTTGGGCCCACGAAAGGCTCTGTTCTAAATGTCTCTAGTGCATTTCTGCTCTCTGTAAGGGAGATGGGTCTGAACATAGTTTTTTAATACTGGTTACAAAACTAAGAAAAAAATATTGTGTGTGTGTGTGTGTGTGTGTGTGTGTGTGTGTGTGTGTATCTCATTAGTAAATGACTCAGTTTTACCTTGTCTTCATGAGACTTCTCTGAGAACAATGGTGGTCAGGTTTAAAGTCTTCAGACGGATGTCGTTGTCAGAAAAGAGATGAGGTCAAGCCCCTCCTGGGGGCACGGGGTAAATTGTTGCTTGTTGTGGAATGCAGAGAGTTAGGTGACTGTGTGACACATGCTTTTCAACAGACAGGTGCAGTTCAGGAGCAGATGAGATCCAAGGGAAACCGAGACAGACCATGGAGCAATTCTAGGGCTTTGTAGTTCCCATGGGACTGGTAAGTGACAAGAGAAACCCATTGACACTGTGCGTGTGCCAGCATGTCCTGTTGCCCTGCTTCGGACCTTTAATCCTTTGATTCTAGACTGAGAAGTGAATTGGTGGAAAGAATTACAATGGAAGTTCAGGAACACAATCTTTACAGGAATGGGGTGGGGGGCATGATGGCACCCATAGTCCCGGCACACTGGAGGTAAAGGCAGCAGGAATAAATAGTTCAAGCTTCTCTTCAACAAATAGTGAAGCGAAGGTCAGTGTAGGCTACATGGTACCCCCATCTCAAAAAGACAAAATTTGAGGAAAGAGCCTTACAGAAATTTCAAATGTGCACTATAGACTGGACATGGTGGTGCACACCTTTGCCCAGCACTGGGGGCAGAGGCAGGGGATCTCTGCAAATCTCTGTAGGTTAGGACTACATAGTGAGACTTGTCTCCTAGTACTCCCCCACAAAGATATGTACTATATAGTGCTGTCTCCTTCAGGATTTGTTTCCTTTTTTCTTTTTTTTTTTAAGATTTATTTATTTATTTATCATGTATGCAGTATGTGATAGAAGAGGGCATCAGATCACATTACAGATGGTTGTGAGCCACCATGTGGTTGCTGGGAATTGAACTCAGAACCTCTGGAAGAACAGTCAGTGCTCTTAACCATCTCTCCAGGCCCAGGATTTGTTTTCTTTGAGAGCAGACTGCCTTTTTCTTCTCCAGTGGGGTTTTGGTAGGTAGCTGAAGTGGCTTAAATTCACTTTGTAGCCCAGGCTGGTTTTAAATTTGGGGTCCCCCTTCCAGAAACTTTCAAGAGCTAGGACTACAAATGTGTACTATTGTGTCTATCTCTAGATCGTCCTTTAAAAAAAAAAAAAAAAAAAAAAAGTTGTTTGGCCAGACACTGCTTCATGCCTGTAATTCTAGCACTTCAGAAGTTGAGGCAGGAAGATTTCTGTGTGTTTGAGAGCAGCCTGGGCTACAGTGTGAAACCAATAGTTGATTTTTTTTTTTTTTTTTTTTTTTTTTTTAAACTCAGGTTCTGCAGTCTTGAAGTTCTGGTTCCATGTCCAGCCCAGAAGAAATGCCACCCTCACCAGGTCCCTTCTACAACCAGTGACCCAAGAGCCCCTCTCCTCCTCCTCGTCCTAACAAGTGCCTCAAAAGGCATGGGGGCTGGACTCCCTCTACCCCCTCTGGCCTCTGCCCCTCCTGGAGATGGGGTCAAGGCAGCAGGACTGACCAAGTGACTACTGGTGGGCCAGAGGAGCTCAGCTGCAGCCCTGGGCACCCTAGATCTGAGCTGGGGGTTCTCTGGGAACCTGGAATGAGTTCCCTGCTCCTGAATGAAGGTCGGGTGCCACCTGTTTAAACTTCTTGCCTTTACTCTTTAAATGAGGCAGGTAGGTGAGGGGATCCAAGGTGCCTCCCTGCCCTCCCTTCTGGAAGAGCAATGCAGAGGTCAAGGGGCAGGGTTAGCACTGCCCAGTCCCGCTGGATCTCAGACCTTAAACTCACAGCCCTCCCTCCCTCCATGTCTCTGCCGGCACCAGGGTCTTGCTGCAGTTAGGCCTCTAATCCCTGCTTCAGTAGTGTTAATAGCGTCCCAGAAATATTCTTTTTTTTTTTAATTAATTAAAAGTTTAATTTAAGATGAGTTCTTTTAATTACCCCCATCCATCCTGTCCTTGCCCCATCCCTGTTAGGAATCTTATTGTTTCCTGTTGATAAGAGGTGAGGGATGGATCTTAAGTTGACCACATTCCATTTAAGACTTGAAGTCCTGGCCTACCCTCTGTCAGACTCCCTGCTGGCCAGGTGAGAGGAAGAGGAGGGTTCAGATAAAAAGCCAGGATGTAGCAAAATTAGCTGTATCTAGGGTAGACTTCCTGTTAGGAATGAGACAGTGGTGAGGTAAATAGGTTGAAGGCACCCTTCGAACGGGACTTGAGATCCTTTATGGAAGTCTAGCTTTTCAACTCAAACAGCTAAAAACAGTTTGGACAGTTTGGGCTGCATAAATCTTTGTGATGGAGGACTGTTCTGCACACTATAAACCTATAAACTACAGTATCTCTGGCCCACCCTAGTGTGGCAACCGAAATACTCCTGGAAATTGCCAAATGTCTCCTAGGAACCAAATTACCCACAGTTGAGGGCCACAGCTCTAGAGTGAAGATATTTTTTTTCTTAAGTGATTTCCACATGCTTCCACCCCCACCCCCAGTCTGGTTATTCACCCTGAGCCATGGTGAGCTAGCTGGCGCCCTCATAGGGCAGGTTCAGCAGAGCTGCACATCTTTCTTTCCAGATGGATTGCTTGTGCTTGCCTGGGCTCAAGTCTCTGTGCAGACAGTCTTAGCAAAAGGGCCTTCTGCAGTATGGAGACATGAGTAGGGTATGCTGGGATGAGAGACGAGGGCCCAGACGCTTCAGAGAATTGGTTATGCTACCCATGCACTGAGCTCCTCTGTCCTTGAACCCAGTATAAGACTCAGGGAGTTTAGGAGATCGGGTGTCTCTCACCACGTGGCTAGAGATCCTGCTTTATGGGAAGCACTGTGGGAGCAATCTTTGGGCCCTTTGTTTTCTCAGGTCTTTTTGTTCTGGCCCTTTCTTTGCAGGCTGATTAGAAAGGCAGAACAAGACAGATGAGCTCCTGCCCATGCTACAAAAGGGGGCTGGGGTCTCATTAGCTCTGTAATAGGAAGCTTGTTGTGTGGTAATGGGTCAGGGCTGTGCAAACCGAGCCACTCCTGCTGACTCCATCCAGTTAATCCTCTCCTAGTGACTCAGATTTTCATTTGTCTGGAGCTCAGTGTGCTCCCTGTAGTTTTTCAGGCTCTTCCATTCCTTGTGCACATCCATTCCCAGATTGCCTACTTGCAGCTCCAGTCAGGCAGGCCAGCCTCCCTGAAGGGAGCTTACCTCACTGCCCTGGAGGTGTCTTTAGTTGGAGGCTACATGAACACTTGCAGGCACTGTGGACCTATGCCCACTGGGCAGCACGCTCCCAGGAAGGCCATGAACATCAAGTCACAATGGCAAAAAGTTGAACACTGTGGGATAACCAGGAGGGGATGAGGTGTGGGTGAGCCCTGAGCTCCAGCCTCTGTTAACTAATTTGGGCACAGTCTTGTCTTTGATGCTCTCCTGCCTTGAGCTACCTTCTCCAATGTATATGCCACCACCACTTAACAAGGGGATTGGAATGGGTTGAGAGTCATAATTTATATTATAAACTTGATGAACTTTTAAGATACATTTTTCCAATAAAAGAATTAAGGAAAATAGTTGCAGAGTAATCACTACAAATATTGTGTTAGATCAAAAGATGGGCATTGGAAAAAAAATAGCTGGGCCTGGTGGCGCACACCTTTAATCCAGGCACCTGGGAGGCAGAGGCAGGTGGATCTCTGTGAGTTTCAGGACAGCCAGGGCTGTTACACAGAACAACCCTGTCTCAAAAGGGGTGGGGGGGGGTGGCTAATGGGAAAAAAAAGAAAGTAGCTGAGATGGAATTTTGTTGCAGTGGCTTTTCCTGAAGAAGACTGAGTAGGTAAAGAAAGCCACCAGTCTCAGAAGCCAAACACCTTGTTCTTGCTAGTCCCTTACCTTGTTTCAGAACTACTTACTTTGGCCAGGTGTGATGCCACATACCTTTAATCAGTATTCAACAGGCTGGAGGATCTCTGAGTTTGAGGTCATTCTGATCTGCACAGCAAGTTCCAGGCTAGCAAGGGTTACAAAGTAACCAATATATTTGTTTTACACAGTTCTGGGAATGAGGAAAATGAACAGTGTGAACATTTTAATCTTGGAAGACGGAGTAGAAGAACAAGCTCTTATTTAAAGCTCTTATTTAGAGTAAGTACTTCTGTAAGGGCACAAGACCAGGCAGGTGATGGTGGCACATACCTTTAATCCCAGCACTTGGGAGGCAGAGGCAAGTGGATCTCTTGAGTTCAAGGTCAGCCTGGTGTACAGAGAGTTCCAGGACATCTAGGGCTGCTACACAGAGAAACCCTCATTGTCTCCTATCTTGAAAAACCAAAAGCGACACAAGACCAGTGAAAGAGTGTTCGCTGAGCATGTGCAGAGCCCTGGGTTTGACCCAGTCACCACCAAAAAGAAAAATGAGACCAAAATATGTATTTTATGTTTTTTCAGTATTAAAAATATATAGTGGGTGCTGGGGTTGAAAAGGAAGGTTATAATGCAGACATCTCCTCTTGAAGGTGACGTGGCCATTACCTCTGGGTTCTTTCTATCTGGGGAAGGCAAGAAAATAGAGAAAAGGAGAGATTATAATCACATTTACATTCTTTTCCTTGCTTTACCCTCTACAAACCATTCCCTCTACCCTGCTGGTTTGGGGTGTGTGTCAGCTGTCTTTTGTCTCCTTGACCACTGTACTCACTGAAGCAAGGTCTCACTGAGCCAGAGTACACACACGCATGCATGACTTTTATGGAGGTGCCTAGGGATCTGAACTTCCCTCATGGTTGCACAGCAAGCATTTATCTACTGGAGTATCTCCCCAGCTCTGCTTTCTCTCTTTATGTTTCTTCATTTATTTTGTGTTACGATAAATCTTTCTGCCAAAAGTCACCAAGCCCCACTGCCATGTGTGCGCTTTATGCCAGCCGACCACCAGAGTTAGGGCCCAAATTAATACACACAGAAACTTGTATTAGGTACAATGCTGCTTGGCCAATGACTAGGACTTCTCATCTGCTAGCTCAATCTTAAAATTTTTATAATTTTTTTTTGGGGTTTTTTTTTTTTTTTTTTTTTTTTTTTTAAAACAGGGTCTTATGTAGCCCAGGCTGGCCTTGAATTTCCTTTTTTCTTTAAAGATTTTGAGCTGGTCAGGTATGTTAACACACACCTTTAATCTCAGCAGCGGGAGCTTGAGGCCAACCTGGTCAACAGTGAAGTCCAGCCCAACCAAGGCTATATATAT